AAAAAAAAAAAAAAAAAAAATCCAGCTTAAATGCTAACTTCTTCATAAAAGCATGCCCAGGTGGCGAGGTGGCTCATGCCTGTAATCCCAGCACCTTGGGAGGCCAAGGCAGGTGGATCACTTGAGGTAGGAATTTAAGACCAGCCTGACCAACATGGTGAAACCCCATCTCTACTAAAAATACAAAAATTAGCCGGGCATGGTGGTTGGCACCTGTAATCCCAGCTACTCAGATGTCTGAGGCGTGAGAATCATTTGAGCCCAGGAGGTGGACGTTGCAGTAAGGTGACATCATACCACTGCATTTCAGCCTGGGCAACAGAGAAAGACTCTGTCTGAAAAAAAAATTAAAAATAAAAAATAATTTAAAAATCAAAGCATGCCCAATCATCCCACTTTAATGGTTCTTTCCTAGAGTTTTGCATTTATTAACTATACCGTTCTTCTGATAATCATGCTGGTCTTATTGAATAACAAACTAAACCTTATTACTTTTATTATCTCTCCAATTAAAGCAAAAACTCCTTGAAACCAAAAACACTTGTTAACCAACTACCCATAAAGAAATACTGATACTATAATACATACTAGTTAGTACGACCACTGTTCAAACACTGTTTTATTTAACTGAGTTTTCAAAAACGAGTCTATATTCTAGAAACTATTCTCAAGGTAAATATACCCCTTGTTATTGCTTGCACAGATAACCTAGCATGATATTAAGCCAATTAAACTTTCAACCACTTTGCCCTTTCTTTAAAGACACCTCAGCCAGGCGCGGTGGCTCACGCCGGTAATCCCAGCACTTTGGGAGGCCAAGGTGGGCAGATCACAAGGTCAATAGATAAGACCATCCTGGCCAACACGGTAAAACCCCGTCTTTACTAAAAAATACCAAAAAAATTAGCTGGGCATGGTGGCACGCGCCTGTAGTCCCAGCTACTAGGGAGGCTGAGGCAGGAGAATTGCTTTTTGAAACCGGGAGGCGGAGGTTGCAGTGAGCCAAGATCGCGCCACTGCACTCCAACCTGGCGCCTGGCGACAGAGCGAGACTCTGTCTCAAAAAAACAGAAAAACAAACAAAAAAAAAGACACCTCATAATTTTACTCATAGCTCTATTCACAGCAACAAGGGAAATTACTGACACTACAGCATACAATCCACAAGCATTAAGAGTTAACTGCTTTTTTGTTGTTGTTTTGCGATGGAGTCTCACTCTGTTGCCCAGGCTAGAGGGCAATGGTGTCATCTTGGCTCACCGCAAACTCCACCATCCAAGTAGCTGGGACTATAGGAGTGCACCACCACACCCAGCTAATTTTTATATTTTTAGTAGAGATGGGGTTTTGCCATGTTGGCCAGACTGGTCTCAAACTCCTGATCTCAGGTGATCCACCTGCCTCAGCCTCCCAAAGTGCTGGGATTACAGGTGTGAGCCACTGTGTCCAGCCTACCTTTAACTTCTTCCATAGTCAGGACTTACAGTATCAAAATAATTTCTTTTTTTTTTTTTTTTTTCCAGCGGGAAGCACTCTCCATTTAAACATACCCATCTGGCCCACCCTCATTTCAAATTCAGGTACAAATGGCCTCCCTGAGGCTTTAGGACTTGCTTTCTTCTTTTTCTTCTGACACTGTTTCCCAGATTGGCTCCTTGATGTGTTCTGGTAACTGTACTATTTGTGTCTTTGTTACTTCCATGGCAACTTCTTCAGGTAAGTTTCGCTGAATATATTCTAAGTAGACATCTGCTGTGCTTCCAGTTAGATGTTCTAACTCTAAACATCTGTAAAGTGTTCTCATTTCATACTGAACTCTGTGCTTCTTGTAAATATGCACCGATTTGAGAAGGGTAAATCGCTCTATTTTCCTTGGAGGTTTGTGTACTTTAATAGAGATACCAAGTTCTTTAGCAGCAAGCACAGCAAAATATTCATAGCTGTCCAATACAGCCCTATCATGTCCTTTCACTAAAACGGACAGGCACTTATATAATGTGTCTGGTTCATCGGAGATCATTATCACAGGTTTGGTCAAATCCTTTGGAACATCAACATGTAGATTTGAAAACCGTACCCACTTCATACTGGTAAGAAGAAAGCCACCATTTTTGGCGGTACTGCCCTTATAACTGTTTACAGAAAAATTCTCCAATCCTTGCCAGAGGCGCTGGCACATGGCCCCGAGTGCTGTCCGCGCCACCATCTTGCCGCTCCCCCAAAATAATTTCTTGATTTGATCAGCACTGCCTACAAAAAAAGGATGAAAAACAAAGCTCCTCTTTTCTCGTTCACTCTGCAAGAAGAATGTTATGTGAGCTATATGACAGGTACTGACTTTTCCAACAATGTCATTATTAAAACATCAGAAAACTCTATGACTTTTTCTTATCATAACTTTAAACCTGTAAAGCTACTTTGTGTTTCAATTCTATGAAACACTAAGATGAATCAGAATTCCTTTTTGAAATCAATGTAATTGCCAAAGAGTGGCAAGGATGATAAATAATTGGAACTTCATGAGATGAAAACCAATGCATATTACAAAGACACTTTCTGGTTGCTTGAGTGACTTGCACACAGGATTGATCGCACCTCAAAACTATCACAAAAAGAACGAAAGCAAATGGCAGGATACTCCTGTTTTCCTCACTAACAACTTTAATTCCTTACTATCTATAGTGATTACTAAATAACAGAGTTATGTGCTACTAATCTATGTACGATGTCAGAAATCATTAGCTGCTTTTTATTCCTAAATTAGGAACAAAATACTTGACAAATTTGTTTAAATTCCAAATAAATCATTTGGCATAGGAATGACCATACAGTATATGCTTTCTTTCAGCCTGGGCATATTTAACTTTTTGCATTGACTAATACAACATACATTAAGTACATTTGCTTAGACTTCCACAGTTAAATGGACAATTCACTTTTTATAAGTGGAAAATCACTACAACCTCTGGTATTCACTGCAATATCAAATCAATGACTTCTTTCAGTATTTGTGGTGGCCATTTGTAATTCCTTTGTTAATTACCATGAATCTGCTTTCACTTAATGCTAAACGGCAATGCTAATATGAAAAGAAAATTAATGCCAGACACACAAGCAAAAGTACCAAGTTGTTTCAGGGAAGGAATTTTAATAGAACTCATGAACTGAAATCTACGTCAAGCTAGAAACCATTTTATTTAATAAAATACCAGAAACTAAGTCACAAGAACAAAAATGAAACTTTTACATGGGTTTCAGATTCATATTCAAAATCTCATGAACTTCTGCTACCGCTTTTCAGAAAATGGTAATCTTGGTCAGATGCAGTGGCATATGCCTGTATCTGAGCACTTTGGGAGGCTGAGATGGGAGGATAGCTTGAGCTCCGGAATTCAAGACCAGCCTGGGCAACATGACAAAACCTCATCTGTATAAAAGTGCAAAAAGAAAAAAAAAATGGCTGAGCACAGTGGCTCATGCTTGTAATCCCAGCACTTTGGGAGGCCGAGGCAGGCAGATCACGAGGTCAGGAGTTCAAGACCAGCCTGGACAATATGGTGAAACCTTGTCTCTACTAAAAATACAAAAATTAGCTGGGCGTGGTAGTACACGCCTGTAGTTCCAGCTATTCAGGAAGCTGAGGCAGAAGAATTGCTTGAATCCGGGGGCAGAGCCGAGATTGTGTCACTGTACTCCGGCCTGGCAACAGAGCAAAACTTTGTCTCAAAATAAATAAATAAATAAAATAGCAGGGAGTAGTGACATGCCTCCAGCTACTCAGGAGGCTGACGTGAGAGGATCACTTGAAGCTGGGAGGTCGAGGCTGCAGGGAGCCATGATCTTGTCACTGCACTCCAGCCTGAGTGACAAAGTGAGACCTTGTCTCAAAAAACATTTCTTTTTTTTTTTTTTTGAGACGGAGTTTTCGCTCTTGTTACTCAGGCTGGAGTGCAATGGCGCAATCTCGGCTCACCGCAACCTCCGCCTCCTGGGTTCAGGCAATTCTCCTGCCTCAGCCTCCTGAGGAGCTGGGACTACAGGCACACGCCACCATGCCCAGCTAAATTTTTGTATTTTTAGTAGAGACGGGGTTTCACCATGTTGACCAGGATGGTCTCGATCTCTTGACCTCGTGATCCACCCGCCTCGGCCTCCCACAGTGCTGGGATTACAGGCATGAGCCACCGCGCCCGGCCTTCAAAAAACATTTCTTCTTTTTAATTTAAAAAAATTAAAACAAATCTTGACCACATCAAAAAAAAACAGACTGTTAGCTGCGTATAGTGGTGCATGCCTGTAATCCTAACACTTTGGGAGGCTGAGGTGGGAGGACTGCTTGAGCCCAGGAATTCAAGACCGGCCTGGGCAACAAGTTGAAACCCTGTTTCTAAAAAAAAGCACTAAATTAGCTAGGCGTGGTGATACATTCCTGTAGTCCCAGCTACTCCGGAGGCTGAAGTGAGAGGATTGCTTGAGCCCAAGAGGTGGAGACTGCAGTGATCCAAGATCCCACAACTGTACTCCAGCCTGGGCAACAGAGCCAGACACTGTCTCAAAAAAAAAAAAAAAAGAAAAGAAAACAGGCTGTCCTTTTAAAAAATTTTATCATGTGCCCAGATATACAGAAATCACATGGAAATGTATGTCAATTATGAAGCAGCACAATCAGGATAGCTTATTATATACGTGTCTTGAAATATTTCTAAGTCACAAATTTTAGCTTTGATTATACAATTTACCATAAAGACGTGAGAAAATTCGATGAAAGAATCCCTTTGCAGTACTCTAATGATAATGTGTTACATGTATAGAAGAAAAGGATACAACAGAGATACCTGTCTTTCTATCATTTTGACTGTAGTGTAACAGCTCTGAAATAATACTCAGCCTAATAGTATACTTGTCCAGATCTGTTTCTTCCTGCCTCCCCTGTCTACTTTGAAAACATATAACGAAACACATCATCACATGAAGCCCTATGATCACAGTTCTTCCCAACCCCAATCTTTCCTATTTGCAACTTAGGTCTTTCTCTGTGATGTTACTCCTTGACATGTCTCACACTTAAAAAGTGATTACATACCCTTTACCCTTCAAATCACCTCCAGGGAAACTTCTCTTATGCTGACTTTACTTTGGTCACTCTTGATCTCCTGAGAATATATTAACTAATATCAATATCACTTTGCATTTGCTAATAATCATGTCAATTCAGCATCAGTATTTTGAAACTAGTATAGCCCTGATTCTAATCCTTTTCACCTATCATACTATGAGACAGGGAAGAGTAATGATTTTGCATTAGTTTCAGTATCCTACGCCAACTGATATGAATTTTCATATCCTGTGGCATTTCTTCCAAATCACAGAAAAGAGACACAGGAAAAAATGTTTAGAACACTTACCCATATGTCATACCTGACATACCTGCATTACATTGCCAACTCAATTACATACAGAAAATATACCAATATGGCCAGGTGCAGTGGCTCATGCCTGTAATCCCAGCACTTTGGGAGGCCGAGGTGGGCGGATCATGAGGTCAAGAGACTGAGACCATCCTGGCCAACACAGTGAAACCCCATCTCTACAAAAATTATCTGGGTGTGGTGGCACTTGCCTGTAGTCCCAGCTACTTGGGAGCCTAAGGCAGGAGAATGGCTTGAACCTGGGAGGTGGAGGCTGCAGTGAGCCAAGATCATGCCACTACACTCCAGCCTGGCAACAGAGCAAGACTCTTTGTCTCTTAAAAAAAAAAAATTAAAAAGAAATTAAATCTCAGT